AATGATTTCACTTTTCTTCTCTAGTAAGTTTGAACATTCTGATCTATTTAGTGTTTTATTACAGAACTCCTCCTGTGCCTGATATTTACATTGTGCGGATACTTCTTTAAAACTTTAGATGTAAGAGGATGTAAATGGTTTTACATGAGATCAGGCTGGATGAGAACTGATATTTATAAATACACTCTTTAGACTAAATCTCTTCTGCCCCTTGTTTTCTGATTGAACTCATAAAAAGAAAACACATTGGATGGAGGGTGGGAGCAGTAAAGAGATTTCTGTTTTTTAATTGAATGTCATTATTTCATATCAAGACAGAACATAGAGCATCCCTGTCTTTGGACCTACAGAAGGAAACAGGTTTTCTACCTGCTGCATGCCAGAGGTTGTTGAACACCTGGAGGGATGACTGCAGCACAGATTGCCAAGCCCTACTCTAGAGTTTCTGATTCATCAGGCCCAGGGTGGGGCCTGAGAACTTGCATTTCTAAGAAGTTCTCAGGTACTGCGGGTGCTGCTAGTCCTGAGATTGCGTTATTGAGAACCACTCTTGTTTACTAACTGTAAATTGTAGAACTCTAGAAAAAAGCTTAGTTTGGTCTGGGATAAAAAGCACTGATGATGAGGAAGAGGAAGAGGAAAGACATTTGGGCAAATTTGCACCGTCGATCCTTGACTCATGGTGCAATACTGTTTTTTTTGGTTTTTGTTTTTGTTTTTTGTTTTTTTGAGATGGAGTTTCACTCTTGTTACCCAGGCTGGAGTGCAATGGCGCGATCTTGGCTCACCGCAACCTCCGCCTCCTGGGTTCAGGCAATTCTCCTGCCTCAGCCTCCTGAGTAGCTGGGATTACAGGCACGCGCCACCATGCCCAGCTAATTTTTGTATTTTTAGTAGAGACGGGGTTTCACTATGTTGACCAGGATGGTCTCGATCTCTTGACCTCGTGATCCACCCGCCTCGGCCTCCCAAAGTGCTGGGATTACAGGTTTGAGCCACCGCACCCGGCCCCCCTTTTTTTTTTTTAAGATGGGGTTTCACCATGATGGGCAGGCTGGTCTTGAACTCCTGACCTCAGGTGATTCACCCACCTCAGCCACAGTGCAATACTCTTTCCCCTCTCTGAGAGCCCCGAGTCCTGAACAGAAGATGGAAGGAAGGTGTGTATATGTGTGTGTACACACGTGTTGGTGTAGATGTATATCTAATGAATTTGTGTGGCTATGTGCATGTTTCTGTGTGTATACATGTGTGTGTCCACATGCATGTTTGTGTATGTGGGTGTGCATACAGTGGTGCACACCTATGATGCCAGTCACTCAGGGGGCAGACAGGGGAGGATCACTTGAATCCAGGAATTTGAGAAGTGTCCAGAGGGTAGGGTGACCACATGTTCTGGTTTGCAAGGCGCAGCTTAAGGTTATGTCTGCTGTCCCAGTGCAGTTATTATAATGTCCCTTTCACTCCCTGAAATGTCTGTAGTTGGGTAAGTCACGTGATCACCCTACCAAAGAGAGGAAAATTAGCCAGAAGACCCATGTGTCTATTTCAAACGGATGTAGGCTGATCCTCAGCGGAGCAGTGTGCACCACCTCTGCCTCACCCTACCCAGCTCTGCCCTTGTCTTCTGGAAGGCTGGAGCCGAACCCTCGGCTCTTGCGCTGCTCTGCTGCCACCTGCAGGTCACATGGGGCAACTGCTTCTCCCCATCCCACTACCCACCACCGGCCTCCCCACCGGGGCCTGGACAGCCTTGGACTTGGCCAAAAGACATTCAGACCACCGAAGCCTGGACCAGGCAGCGAAACTGATGTTACAGAATCAGACGGGCCTAGCTTAAACCAACAAAGCCAAGTTCCTCCTCTTCTTACCCAATCTTGTCCTGTCTCATTCTGTAGACAGGAAATGAAGGCCTAATTCAGAATTTTCTTTGGGTAGGATTGTGGCGCACACAGCTGGAGCCTCCTGGGTGCCACTCCCCACATCTCTTTCTTTCCCTTAATACGTTAGGATAGTGGGGAAGCAGGACAACTTAAGCGTACTAAGCTCCTACTATGTATCAGGCACAGAGTGTGCACTTTTCTCTCCAGCCTCGCAATTGATGGGAAATAGGTGATTATAAAACAGGGATATAGGATTGGAGTGGGCCAGTGATGTGCTCAGTCTCAGCTGAAAACTGGAACCTAGAACTCGTTGGGTCTCCAGCTTGAGCAATAGTTGCAAAATACAAAGAGCACCAAGGAAATCTAATATTGATCCATATAAGACTGTATTGTTGGGTTGAATGTGGTGGCTCACGCCTGTAATCCCAGCACTTTGGGAGACCGAGGCAGGTGGATCACAAGGTCAAGAATAGGAGACCATCCTGGCCAACACAGAAAACCCGTCTCTACTAAAAATACAAAAAAATTAGCTGGGCGTGGTGGCACATGCCTGTGGTCCCAGCTACTCGGAAGACTGAGGTGGAAGAACTGCTTGAACCCAGGAGGCGGAGGTTGCAGTGAGCCGAGATTGCGCTGCTGCACTCCAGCCTGGTGACAGAGCAAGACTCCGTCTTAAAAAAAAAAAAAAAAAAAAAAAAAAAAAGACTGCATTGTTTTTGGAGTTATGTCTTTATAAAATAAAAATCATATTGTGAATCATTTACACCCTGGTGAGTGTCATCTAAGATACCCTTTTCTTCTCAGAACTTTTAGCTGAAGTTGGTTATGAGAGAGGATGGGGAGGCGGGAAAAGGGTCGGAGCGAGCACTCTTGGACTGCACTGTTTCTTGTGATGTCCTGGCACAGTGTGAATGTCAATCTAAGTGGAGAGCTCTAGGCATGTTCCTCTGTATTCCCTTTGTCACTAATACCGATTCCCCAGGCAGAGCCCCAGGAGGGCTGGACTGAAGGACCTGGAGGTAATAGAAAATGTTTGGCTTTGGATTTCAGGTCAAGTTCTGCTGGTGACTTGCTGTGTAAGATCAGACAAGTCAGTTCACCTTGCTGCACTTCAGTGATCTCATTTGTAAAAGCCTAGTTTGGACAGGATTAATGATTTTCTTTAGGTTTTGCAATTTTTTTTGTTGTTTTAACATTATGTTCTTCCTCCATTTTTACTCAAGTATAATTGATAAAAATTGTGTGTATTTACAGCATTCAATGTGATGTTTTGATATATGCATATTTTGTGAGGTGACTAAACAGTTAATTAACATTTCCATCACCTCACATACTTATTTTGCATGTGGTAAGATCTATAATAGTTAGATCTTACCAGATCTAGTTAGACTAGAGGTGAGAAAGAGTAAGGGGGACAGGATAGCCAAAAATCGGCTAACAGGTTAACAGATATTGAGTACATGACTGAGTGTAATGGTTTACACACTAGTGTGATCCTAGCACTCTGGGACGCTGAGATGGGAGGATCACTTGAGGCCAGGAGTTCAAGACCAGCCTGGGAAACATAGGAGATGTCTACAAAAACTTAAAAAATTAGCTAGGCATGGTGGTACATACCTGTGGTCCCAGCTACTCAAGGCCAAACTGAAGGACAAAATAAATCAACCACAACTTTTCACATTTTGTGACTGTGACCAAGGACTGAATTATATCGTATTGTATCAATGTTACGCTTCCTGACTTTTGACCATTGTATTATGGTTACATAAAATAATGTTCTGGAAATAACACTGAAATATTTGGGGGTAAATGGGCACATCTCCAACTTAACCTCAAGTGGAACAGAAAAAAAGTTGTGTGTATATACATATATATATAAAGAATATGATAAAGCAATTGGGGCAAAATGTGAACTGGTAAACCTGCGTATTCTTTGTACTATTCTTGCAACTTCTCTGCTTGAAATTATACACATATTAAGTTGCAAAACACATTAAAAATGTCTGCTTTATCTGCTTGACCGAAGTAGATATGTAAGAATCACTCCAAGGCTACAGCTTTGCCCCTTCCTGGCTGTCTTGAGACAGGTTCTCACTTTGTCACCTAGATTGTATTGGAAGTAGCATGATCTCAGCTCATTGCAACCTCCACCTCCAAAGCTTAGGCCACCTGCCGTCCACCCCCCGAGTAGCTGGACTACACTTGTACACCACCATGCCCAGCTAATTTTCTACCCTTTTTTTTTTCCTTCGGTAGAAAAGTCTTGCTATGTTGCCCAAGCTGGCCTCCAACTCAAGCAATCCCTCCCGCCCGTCTCCTGAAGTGCTGGGATTACAGGTGTGAGCCACCGTGCCCTGCCCGTTATCTTGGACACATGTCCAGCTAAGCTTGGCCTTGCAACAGCTCCTTCTCTCACTGGAGAAACACAAAGCCCACAACGTTCCTCATATCCAAGGGCATGAACCAAGGGCGGCCCAGCTTCTGTGACTCTCTCACACACACACACAGCCCACTATGTTTCTCATATGTAAGGGCATGAACCGACCAAGGGCAGCCCAGCTTCTGATGCATGCACGCGCACATGCAGACGCAGTTTAACTCACGGCCTCCAGAGTCCATGCGCTGAGTCCAGGGTAGTCTATACAGGCTGCAGCGGGTGAGCTCCGCCTCGGGTTAGGCTGAAGTATCTGTTATCACTGATCTTCCCACATATTTGTTGAGATCTTATATTCTAGGCACTTAACATTGAACAGACACAAAGACACCATGCATCATACCTCCCACTGACACAAAGTCCTACCCTAATACACGTGGTAATCCCGTTGTTACCTTCGCGAGGAGGGCAAGTTGGCCCAAATTGTGTGCACCCAGGAGGAGAAGATCAAAGACCTAGGCAAGCAGGGTGGAGCTGTCAGCAAAGCAGCTTTCCAGGCTCACACTGCAGACCACTCCCCACAGTTCCAGGCTTGCCCTTGCTCCCTTACTAAAAACTCCGGTGAACCACTCTTCATAGACCAGATGAAGGAGCACTCAAGTCCCAGGCAAGTGCCAGCTGATGAGTCACCTTGAGAGCTCGTGCCTTTTCCCACACACAACTGCAAAGATGACACAGGCAAGGCTGTTGTGCCAGGTTTATTGAAAATAATACAGCATTGATTCAAACAGGGCCCCGAGGCGTTTTGAAATTCATCCCAACTGTAGGCTGAGTGACCTGCAGGTTGGATAGACTGCCAAAATCCTGGAACGACAAAATGGATTCAGTGTGAGCAGTTACTGGTGAGATGCGAGTGGACCCCAGAAGAAACAGACAGCCTTCTTGACCCTAGAGCCACAGCACTCTCAAGGGGTCTAGGAGACCTGAAGGATCATTTACTCTAAGAACCACCAGGGACCTCAATGCTTCAACACACACCTGACCATGTGGCACCCCCACTTACAACTCCATCTATGACTTTTACCCAACATACCACTCCATTTTTCCTCCATGTTTTCACAACCCCTTCCTGTCAATCACTCTAAAACACCATTTCTCAATCTTGGCAATGTAGACATCCTGGGATGGGCATTCTTTGTTATGGGGGCTGTCGTGTGCACTGCAGTAAGTTTAGCAAGTTCCTTGGCCTCTACCCATTAGAATTTAGCAGGTATGCCCTTGCTATGACAACCAAAAATGTATCTGGACATTGCCAAATGCCTTTTAAGGCAGAATTCTATCCCTTTGAGAATACACAGTGCTACTTTCCAGGACCAGCCCCAGGTAAGACCTATCACCAATCTAATCAAATTGGGGAGGGGAGGGGGGAGAAGTACACAAGGCACCAAGCAGAAGGGAGGGAGGCAAGAGCAGACCCTGCCCCCACACAAGCTCAGGCTGGTGGGCGGGGCAAGAAGCCAAAGGGTCCAACTTATTTGTAGAACTTTCCTATTTGGTTCTCAAAAACCCATTTTAGTTTCAACAAAAAAGCTGCATTCAGCACAGTGGTTATTTCAGGAGGAAGAGATCCACAGCGGGCTGTAGCTGTACTGGTGATGTTTTTCTGAAGCTGGGAAGTTATAGGGAAGTTCATTTTGCTATTATCTCTTTATCTCTTTTAATGTTTCAAAAATTTAATGACCATAAAAATAGGAAAAATGAAGTTGTTCAAAATCAGCAACCACCCACTGTATTTTGAAGCCCATGCTTTCACCCAAGTATGCAAAAGGACTAAAACAAGCTACAGAAGAAACATCCAAGTGCAACGAAGATACCCGTGAACTACGTTAAGTAGCGCCTTGTAAGTATCTGGAAATGGACCGCAGCTCATTTCTGAGTGGTGAGCATGGAGACCCCAAAGAATGCTACTTCAAAAGAAAAGCAGGCAGAATAAGGACACAGAATAAGGGCTGACACAAGGTGGGGGGTGGGGCACGGCCAGGGGGCAACATAAGCCAGCCATAAAACCAAGAACAGAAGCAGCTGAGAGGGAAAGGGCGTCCTGGAAGCCACTGCATTTCAGAATTACAATCTTGTGGTGAGCAAACTCAATGCAAACAACTTTTGCTATACCCACTATGAAAGCAGTCCAGTTTACTGGCTAGAAGTTTAGATGAGATTTCCAACTTTGCTGCCACTTACTAGCCAGGTGCCCTTGGATAATAAGAACTACTGAATGGTTTTTGACCAGGGAAATACCATTTTAGGAATCCAGCAAACACTTACCAAAAGCTTCAGCATTTCCTTAGTGTCAGGATCTACTTCAATGATCTCCTGATCCAGGGCTGAGACCTAGAAGCGAACGAGGTAGGCTGAAAATACCAATCTATGAGGTCATCGCTCACCTCTCCTTTCCCCAGGCTCTTAAACATGGGAGAGGGGGCAAACAAGGATATAGCATTCCTCTCAGGAGGTGAGCAGTCTTACAGTATTATAGACCCCAACGACCGGTTCTTCTGCTCTTACCTTCCTATGCCCACATTACATCTACTCAGTATTCAGAACATTAAGTCTGTGTTTACATCAAAGAATACTATACTAGGGGCAAAGAATCAGAACAGGTGACACAACAGCAGTCATCAAATCAACATTAAGGGCTCTCAATGAACTACAGAATAGACTTAACTGGTTGGAAAGAGTAGAATGGAGAATAAAAAACTGACAGGAGGCCTATGGGCACCTACAGCTGATTATAGAATGTATGGATAAAAGGTCTCAGATTCAGCTGAAGTCCCTTTGGAAGCCAGGAACCCACAGCTTTATCATTTGAGGATTAGCCAGAGGCCCAAATATCCACAAAGTTTACCTCAGGAACATAATTGTCTCTCCTTTCTCTCTCCTCCTCCTGCAGTTTGATGGAGATACCTCTTACTGGGCCTCTCTGAATCCGCTTCATCAGATGCGTGACATAGCTACAAAGCACACATGGCCAAAGAGAACAGTGAGAAGATGAATCAGTTCCCAGCTAGTACCCAGCATGTGTGGATTTAAGTACCCACTTTAATTCTTTTCCAGTGAGAAGGGAGAGGACTCACTATCCTGGGACCTCCTACACATAGAACCCCCAATGGCCTGAGCATTCCTTCCCTTTGGTTTCTCACTCTATTCAAACTCTCCTTCATCGTGATCAAGACCGCCCTCCACCATAGTTTCACTACCCTTCACGACTTCATTTTTTTTCTTACAATTTCAAATTCACATAACTAAGCAATTAATACATTGACTTTGGCACTATTCTTCGGATCCATATTCCTATAAATCTCTGGAACAGTAAGTGCAACTGTAAAGAACGCATTAAAAGTTGACACCTAGCCGGGCGCAGTGGCTCATGCCTGTTAATCCCAGCACTTTGGGAGGCCGAGGCAGGCGGATCACCTGAGGCCAGTAGTTCCAGATCAGCCTGGCCAACACAGCGAAACCCCGTCTCTACTAAAAGTACCAAAATTAGCCGGGGGTGGTGGCGCGCGCCTGTAATCCCAGCTACTCGGGAGGATGAGGCAGGAGAATCACTTGAACCCGGGAAGTGGAGGTTGCAGTGAGCCCAGATCGCGCCACTGCACTCCGGCCTGTACGACAGAGCAAGACTCTGTCTCAAAAAAAAAAAAACAAAAAAAGCTGACACCTAAAAGCAACGTAGCTTCAAGGAAAGAGGTCTGACGATGGCTACCTTCGACCCAGTGTCACCGCGGCCAGTCATGACACAAGCCTAACTTGACAACAGAAATCCTGCACACGCCAAGTTCCAGCCCTTCTCCGGGGCACTAGGGAGGCTCAGGCTAATGAAACCACCACGGCACAGTCTCTTCCCGAGTCGGAGGGCGGCAGAGCACACAAACAGGCCGCGGGAGCCCCAACTCACCCTGCTATCTTGTTGCGGAGCTTCTTGCTAGGGATAATGGCGATCTCCTCGCACACGCGCTTGTTCGTGTGGAAGTCGTTGCCCAGGCGCGTGTAGTACTTTTCTATGATGACCCGGGCCGCCTTCTTCACGGTTTTGGTGCGAACGCGGCCCTGCGGGTGGAGAGGACAGGATCACTCACGAGCCATCGCAACCTTCTGGGAAGAGTGCGACGCCGAGCCCCAGCGGGAGTGGTTGGAGGCTGCCGGGGGCGCTGAGCCGGAGAGGGCCCGCTTGGGCAGTGCGGGCGCCAGGCTCAGTGCGGAAGCCGCCGGCCCGCTGCGCTCCAGCCTGACAGGGTCCGGCGCCCGCCCGGCCCAGGGCCTCTTTTTGTGGGCTGGGACCGCGGGAAACTGCAGATGGAGGACGATTGAAGAGGATGGCGGCCTCGGGCCAAAACACCTACCATGTCGGCGGGTCCTCAGTGAAAGAGGAAACCGGAAGCACAAGCGAGGCCTATTTAAGCTTAGGCCAGAGAGCCGCTTCCGCCGGGCCCGGGCGAGCTGAACCTACTTGGGAGCCCACAGCGGCCCCTGGCGGAGCGGAGCGGAGCGGGAGCGGCGGCGGCGCGCCCCTCCGGAGGGCGGGTTATCTGTCCCGCCCCCGACTGGCTCCTCCCTTTCCGCTCCTCGCCCCCGCTTGGTTGACCTGTTCGTTTCTCTCCCCCATCTGATTTCTAATCGTACGGCCTGTGTGATGTGCTTTATCCGAGGAGCGGTCCATCTCTTCCACACATGCCAGGGAGAGGAGAGGCATCCGGTCCTCGGGAGGACCGAGAAAGGAAGGCGATCCAGGGTCGTGGAACAATGAGGAAGTCAGGGATGGCGGCCACCCAGACCTCCAGCCAGTCCCCAGGCCAAAGACTTCTAAGACCTAACCGGGACACACGGTGCGCCTGGAAGAGGCATATCTCATTTCCAGGTCTTTGCTCAAATGTCGCCTTATCAGAGGACTTTCCCTTCAAACTTAGTTATCATAACTCCCTCACTATTCCCGCTCTTGTATTTCCTAGCACTTGGCATGTGACTCGGCTTAGTTTTCTAATCTAGGGGTGAGCTCCATGACAGTAAGGGTCGTCTTGTTTAGCCAATTCCCAGTGCTTGAATAGCGCCTAGCAGGTAGCAATCTCTCCAATATTGAAATGAAGGGCCCAAGTCACCTGCAGAGCTCTCAACACTTCAGGCACCTTCTCCACCCACCGTCTTCAGGCTGTTCCTGCCATACCCATCCCCAAACCAGGGCCTTCGGAAGCCACCAGCGCAAGCTGCCCTGATGAATCGCAGCCTAGTTAGGGCCCTGCCCCCTTCTTCCAACTCTGCTCCCTGGGCTGACCTAGGCCCCACACCTCAAAGGCTGCTGGCCAGGCTGGATGAGTTAAGCAGCCCAGGGCTGTGCCTCATTCCTCAACGCACCTTGGATACTCCAGTCAGACTCTCAACTGATTGAGGATGGAACCTGAAGAACAGGAAGCCCTCACCCCAAAAGTAGCACTGGGACAAAAGAAAAGGCCAGAATCTCAGAACTGCAGGAGCAAACTTCCAGTCAAGCTGCTATCAGGCCCAAAGTGAAAGATCAGGCTTTTTCTGGTGAGATGGGGTCTTGCTCTGTCGCCCAGGCTAGAGTACTATGGTGCCGTCTCGGCTCACTGCAACCTTGGTCTCCCGAGTTCAAGTGGTTCTCCTGCCTCAGCCTCCCGAGTAGCTGGGATTACAGGTGAGCGCCACCACGCCTGGCAACATTTTTTTTTTTTTAAGTAGAGACAGGGTTTCGCCATGTTGGCCAGGCTGGTCTCCAACTCCTGACCCTCAGGTGATCTGCCAGCCTCAATGGCCAGCCTTTTTGAGACACGGTCTTGCTCAGTTGCCCAGGATTTAGTGAAGTGATATGCTAAGAGTTTGCTGCTGCCTCAATTTCCTGTGCTCACATGATCCTCCTGCCTCAGTCTCCCCAGTAGGTGGAACTACAGGCACACACCATGTCGTTAGTTTTTTTGTAGAGATGGGGTCTTCTTATGTTGTCCAGGCTGGTCTCAAACCCCCAGGGCTCAAGCGATCCTCCTGCTGCAGCTTCCCACAGTGCTGAGATTATAAGCATGAGCCACTGTGCCCAGTCTAGCCTCTCCTTTAGTGAGGAGACTCCCCCACCCTTCCCAATAGTTTTTGCGCCTCTTTCAGAAGAGACAGCTTCAGTATGCAGGGTTCCCTCTACCTCAACCTAAACTGGAGTTTCCCAAAGAATTAGTCCAACAAGTTGGGCCTAGGCCAACTTGACTGAAGAACAATCAGTAGTACACCCTGTCACAAATCCTAGGAGCTTTGAGAAAGTTCAGTTGATAGGGTTCTCTGAACTGCAAAATCCCAATCACTTCCTCTCAGAAAGGAACTGGGTGATCATTGGTGGGTAGAAGAGGATGTGCAGCCTCCTAAGAATAGGCCAAGGCTTGCAGGAGAAGCTGTGAACAAGTGGCTTCTACTGGCACGTGAGCAGCTGCACCTCCAGCATTCTCCAAGCTGGGTCTGGAGGCTGCGAGGACCCCCGAGAAGCTAAGATGTGAGGACTTTTTGTATTTGGGCTAGAAGCACCCACCCACTGGAGAGGCATCTCCAAAGTGTAACTGACCATGGAAAGGACCAAGTAGTACTCACAAGGCAGGTCTCCCACATGGTCACACCGTTATCCTGCTCCAGGATCCCATCAAAGAAAATCCAAGGAAACAAGCTGTGGCTGTGCCATTACCCTCCTATTCCCCTGTCAGCCCCTTGCTCCCAGACCTCAAACAGAGACAAAACCAGAACTCTGCTGCAACGTGTTTATTATGTGCCAAAAAAACTACACCACAGCTTACTCCACACATCTGTAGGAGAGTGCAGTCTTGCCTGCATATACTACAATGAGGTAGAGACTTCACACACAGCTTCACAAAACCCACAGAGTAGCTGGGATATGCAACAATGCAACATCAGCTCAGCAGGAGGGAGGGGTTATGACACTGGTTCTTTGGCACACAGCTTCCCTAGGAGGGGCAAGTAGTTTTTGTTTTTTCTATTTAAAAAAAAAAAAAAAGAAAGAAAAAAAGTCAAGTTTTCAAATTCCAGTAGGATTTCAATCAACTGCAACAGTTATCTCATATGTTCCTCAAATTAAAGATATAAAGGAAGGGTACTTGCCCCCCTAAGAGAAAGGGCTCCTGTGAGCCTTCATCTGCCCCCACCAAAAAGCAGCCCTTTTTAGCTCAGTTACAAAAGAAAAAAGTCCTGTGACTTTGTGATTAAAAACTTCTATCAACCCCCCCCCCAACATAAGTGCAACTTAAGGAGGTGCAATAAACCATTTAAAACTATATACAACAGCCGCTCAAACACCGTTTATCCGGTCCAGTTTCAAATAAAACAAAATTTTTTTTTTCTTGGTTGCAAATACCTTGATTTGCAACTGTGAGAAACAGTGACCAGCAGTCCCCCAGACACAAATTTGCTATAATGTTAAAAGCTGCCAGGAAAGAAAAAATCTCTTGTTCCAAACGACTTAAAAACTGTTTTAAGGAGTGTAAAAAGGAACCGGTAAAAACCCTCGAGCGTAAAATATGAAATATGATTTTGGTTTAAATGAAGAGCAAAGTCTCCTTGTTGTTTACAGTAAAAAACACCAGCTGAACACTCAGTTTATGCCGTTCAGGTGGGGGTTAAATAAATGGAAAGGCACTGTATGGCAACTGCAAGAATGAAACCAATGAGACCTGCGCATCATCACCATCAGTATTGCAAGGAATGTAAAAAAGCGCTTTTAATAAATAAACCTAGGTGTAGGCATCCGTGTCAATACTTTCTGGACACGTAGTTTTTTTTTGTTTGTTTGCTTTTCATCGGCAAAATGAGAAACTAAAATCTGGGAAAACTACAGAGTCGCTTGAAGGGTAAGCCAAAGGGTCCTTGCCCTTGGCACGCCCCCAGAAAACAAAACCCGACAAAACTCATTGTGCATTAATTAGTGCAGAAACAAAGACAGATTCAGCAAGTGCAAAGGTGACTACAATTTTCCCTTGTCCTCGGGAAGCCAGCTCCCTGGTCGCCAGTGGCAGGGTGGTGCAGGCTGCTTGCCTGACCTGCCAGCTTTGGGCGCCACAGGCCACTGGGCAAGGCCAGCTCCTCTAGCTGGAATCTCTGTTCTTCTGGTTCCGCATCAGAGGGCTGTGATGGCGCAGGCCCTCCATGCTGTGCCGCCAGTGCCAGCAGCTCCGGCAGAAGTACTTGAAGCAGACCTGGGTTGGGAGAACAAAACAAAGAATGCCATGCCTGTGTCAGCACCAGACACAGGAGCTGTTGCATGAGCTGCTTGCTCTGTTTGGAGAAGGGGTGGGAAACTCCTGATGGCCTCTGTGGGTTAGAAGAGATGGTCCCTAGGAGAACTCTCACCCCAACACAAAAGCCTGATTAACTATGGCAAACCCACCATCCTGCTTACAGGTCCCCTTAAACATGTTGAGCTCCTAGTATGTACAGAGACCATGCTAGTTTCTCTTATCCCTTCTAACCACGACAGCTGCTCTCCTATTCCCCTGCCCTTCTCACTTCCTACAGGGTAGTTGTATCACATGGCTGCTAACATGGAGAATGTATAAAGACACTGACTACAAATTCTAATGCTAGGCAACATGCTGCCTTCTTCCCATCTCCCCTCTTCCTACTAAGTGAGGAGAGGTGACTGGGTTTCTCAGTCTAGTCCCATCTCTTGCTTGTTGTGTAACCTCAGGCAAGCCACTAATCTCTGAGCAATTATCTGACTATGAAGATTATCTGTGAAAGATCCAGATCCATAAAAGCCTGCTAGAAGAGGCTGATCAGAGAGATACTTGTTCTCAGGCTTTACCTAACAATCCAAACTTAATTTCAAACTGTCACTTGAGAGCTTCAGTTTAACCATGTACAGAGACTCCACATCTGAACAATGGCATCACTGCAAAAATTTTAAAAATAAAATTTAAAAAGCACCCACTGAGCATGGATGGGACTAGGTGGTGTCCTAAGACACCCTTACCGTAAGACAAACTTCCCCTAACACCTGGCAAAGGATGATGCTGACTAGCAGCACTAACACCGCTTGGATACTTGCTGGAAACATGGAATCTCAGAATCAACCCGAAACCCACCAAATCAGAATCTGCATTTAAACAAGATCCTCAGGTGATGTGTCTGCAATTAAGGTCTGAGAAGCACTGCCAAACACATCCAGATCCATGCTCCACCACCCAGAAACAGTCAACAGAAAGCGGCCTTGCTGCTTTCTGCCTGTTGCCGACACCTGTGGGAACAGCCCAGATGCAAATATCAAAGTAGTCTAGTAGTTCAGATGTAAAGGAGGAGGCCCTTGAGTAGATAAAAATAAGCTTAGAAGGCCTCAGGGTTAGAGCAGCTGAGCCTGGCTCCTAGGTACTGCTGAACATACCCAGGCAGGCCTCTATCATCTACAAATAGTGGGATACTGCATAGCAACATCCCAGGCAAGAAAAAGGCCAAAGTATAAAGACTCAATTCAACATGTTTTCCTAAAAGTTCTGGGCAAGCCATCCAAAGTGTGTCACTGGTCTGACCCTCAGCAAACCTTACTGCTCCTCCTCTATGCTTTCAGATGCCACAAGTTACCTCAGAACGCCAACATTCCATGTCATGATCTTGGCATAACAGTTTTTAATTGAGGGCAGGGACTTCATAGACATTGGACCCACCTGATCTCGACAGAAGAAAGGACCAGGCTGAGAACTGCAGATATGACACAGAGAATCTTCCAAGTAAGGGTCAATCTGAACCTGCACAAAAGCAAAAGATGATGATGAAATGTGTCTTCTCACCAGGAGGACTGATCGGTTATAGAAGGGCACATTACTGGGCTATACACAGGAATGTGGGATATCTGAATGCAGGGTATCTGCCCTTTTTTTTTTTTTTTTTTTGAGACAGTCTTTCTTTGTCACCAGGTGCCAGGCTAGAGTACAGTGGCGTAATCTCAGCTCACTGCAACCTCCGCCTCCCAGGTTCAAGCAATTCTCCTGCCTCAGCCTCCCGAGTAGCTAGGACTACAGGCACACGCTACCACGCCCAGCTAATTTTTGTATTTTTTAGTAAAGAAGGGGTTTCACCATGTTGGCCAAGATGGTTTCAATCTCTTGCCCTCGTGATCCACCTGCCTTGGCCTCCCAAAGTGTTGGGATTACAGGAGTGAGCCACCGCACCCGGCCTGATATATGCCTGTTTTAAAGGAGGCTTGGAGAGAATTATGGGCCAGAAGTGCAGAAAGGGATTCTAGAGGACAGACTCATACACCATGCAGAGCCAGGCTGGATGCCTCCAGGATTTGAGCAACCATACATCTTAATGCCTGGTCTTCTCAGCAAACTGTACCTCAGCCCTCTATCAATTAGCAATATAGGCAAGTGTTGAGAGGATTCCTGAAAGGTTGGATAATGGGAAGTCAGGCTACTTAGCAATGTCAGAGAAACACCACAGTGAGGGAGGCACCCTACACACTGAAGAGGCTCAACAGTCGCAGTTCCCTTCCTCCTGAGCCTACAAAGACCAAGTCCACTCCCAAACCCTAACCTCAGTGTTAATTCTCAGGAGTTTGGCTCACTTCCCTCAACACACCCAGCATAAACACAGCTTCAGGTCTCAGGGCCTGCCCTGGGTAGTAATCGCCCAAACCCCTCTTATATATCCCAGAGTAAGAGCATAAACCAGCCAACTGACCTTCTTTGTGAACTTGGTGGTTTTGATCTCGACAAAAGCAGCACTGACTGCTTTCAGGTAACTCCGTTGGTTATTGAAAGTCACACGACCAGATCCTAGGACAAGAGACACAAACTTCCCTTCTAACCAAATTCTGCCAAATGCTACTCTCTTAACATGCAGGAAACCCTTTACTATGCATGTAAGTGCTGTCCAACAGAAACATAATGTGAGCTACTATGTAACTTTATTTCTTGAGACAGTCTCCCTCTCTCACCCAGGCTGGAGTATAATGGCGTGAGCCCACTGCAACCTCTGCATCCCGGGCTCAAACGATTCTCCTGCCTCAGCTTCCCAAGTAACTGGGACTACAGGAATAAGCCACCATGCCTGGCTAATTTTTGTAGTTTTTGTAGAGACAGAGTTTCACCATATTGCCCAGGCTGGTCTCGAACTCCTTCACTCAAGTGATCTGCCCACCTCAGCCTCCCAAAGTGCTGGGATTATAGGCATAAGCCATCATCATGGTCGGCCCTTATGTAATTTTAAATTTTCTAGTAGCCACATTGAAATTTTAAATAGTAGTGACATTAATATTTTATTTAACCCTACATGTTAAAAATATTATTTCCAAATATGACACAAGCCGTGTTTTCAGAACTCAGTAGCCACATTTAGCTGGTGGCTACCATATTCGAGATCATGTTGGCAGGAACCACGCAGGAATAGGGGAAGAATCTGCAGATCAAGATGGGGAAGGGAAGGGACTCCTTCAGTGCAGGTGGAAGCATAGGTAAGGTTGAAGGATTCGGAGTGGAAGCCAAGATGCAGATAGAACACTTCTCTGAAGGGTAAGCCCAGCAGTTGAACTGAACCTCTCCTAGCCTGGAGGCACTCTGGAGACCTATTAGGGGAGCTGGAAGAAGCCCCATCCTGCCAAGTGCCGCCTCTGCCCCTGCAGCTTCTCAAGTCCCTGTTCTTAATCTGCTGCACAGCATTGGTGAGTACACGATGCTCCTTCCTGACCAGATTCAGTGTGGGTGTGAAGACTAAGCATTTGGGGAAGTGGGTTAGCCACATCTTAATCACAGAGTTCAGGCTCTGCTCCACCTCCATACTCCATCACTGAGATTATTTTGCCAGGACTGGTGAATTAACCTCCTTTCTCAGAGGAGTTCATCAAAACCAAGAGGTTAGGCCCACAGACTTCTGAATTGGGAAAGCACAGGCTATGACCATACTCTGTAGCGTGACTCACTCAGAAAGTCCTCCTCCAGCCTGACCTGGTCTCTGCCCTTAGATAATGCCAGAGCTTTTCAAGAACTTTTAATAAAGGAAACCAGGCAAGTTCAGAGAATTGCAGCCTTTTCATGAAACAGTACCTGTTGTCTGTTCCAAACTGGTTTGGCTGTGAACTCTGAGCTTCCAACAAAGTTCCTACCTGGCTCTTACTTCTTATCACCTCCTGTAGTCTCCAATCGCTTTTTCTCTCCCTGCATGGGAGATGGGGGGTAGAGGGATAGATGCAGAGGGGCCAGTACACGTGACCTGACTAGAAGAAGATACTGCTGCTGGTATGTGCTGATCTGCAGAGCCGGGTCAGGCGTCTCTCCCCACTCCCACTGGGAATTATAACAATCTTGGTCTACTCCCAGGGGCCAACCAAGCTTTCGTAGACAGAAGTGGGACACTTACCAATGGGATACTTGTGCTTATCTGTGTCAATCCCGGCATACACCACTCCACCAAATAGGTCGTTCAAGATGGCTGCCAGGGCCTCGGCATTGAGCATCCCATGCAGAGCACCAACAAACACCGTCCTGCTGGGGTCAAGCCTCTGAGACGGGCTCCGGACAAAGTTACTGTCTGCTAATACCCAGGGGATCACCTGCACCTGAAAACCACCCAAAGGTATATCAGCCCGGGCAGAGAACCACAGATACAGAGGCGCTTGTATGGCAAGGCGCATGCTCTGGAGATACTGAAGCTGGCTGCTAAGGCCCTTTCAGGGGTAAAAAGGCATTGTTGCCCAGTCTCAGGCACACAGCCATCCAATCCAGTAAACCACCCTTACTCCACCCTAACTGGAGTTGAATTTTACACTGAGTCCATGTGTCCAGAATGGTAGAAGTGGACACAGTACTCACTCATGCTGGAGAGTAAGCAAAAATGTACCACAAGAGCCCAGCATTCTATTTCAACCTCCAACTGTGTGGTTCCACCAAAGGGCTGTGGACACTGATAAAAAGAGCAGAATCTGAAGTCCTCAAGAAAGGAAGGACTCACAGAGTATTTAAAGGCTAGGATCCTGAAGGACAGAGGGGTGAGAGTGCTTATGATATTTGTATGAGATGGTTACTAGCCCCAACCTAGGCTTCAGAGGGTTTGTACCCAGAGCAGTGGAAATGACTGGAGACAGGTCGGGTAGAAAGTCACATACAAGATTCCTGGAGTCTTGTAGGGCTGGGGCTGACCACGTCCTTTGCCTCTGAATGTCTTGAACGTGAAACAAAACCTGGTAGAGCAGGCAGAAGACTCCAGAATGAAGTAAAGATCTAAAAATATGTCTTGAAGCAAGAGGAGATCTGAGGCAGAAACCAGCAGAGAGGAAAAACAGTAGTTTCTAAGGACAGGTGATTAAAACCTAGACAAGGCCGGTGGCAATGAACAGAGAACAGGCCAAGATCAAGGGGATTCTTTAAGAGAATCGTCTGCAGTAACTCAGACTGCATTAGCAGGATGGGCAAGCAAGGAATCAGGCCTGGTGGGTGTTAGGTCTACACCATCTTGGGATGAGAGGACCTGGCAGAAGATACAAGGGGGGCCAATTTCACTGTAAGATGAAAAAGCCCATTTTGTCCATAAAAGAGTTTGGGATTACAGAAAATCCCAAAGGGGAGTCTCACAGGAAGGTGGTGCTCAGGTAGGACATGAGGCTAGAAATGTAAATCTGGGTCTAAAGTTGAGAGGAGCCACAAAAGTGAGTCATTTAACTGAAGTGGAAAAGAAGATAGGAGGGAGTCAAAGACTGACTATATTGGTGCTGGCAGGGAGGGGAATACAAAAGAAAAGTAAAGGAGAGGAAGGAGAACTGAATCAGCCTATAACCAATGAATCGAAGCACGATTAAATCCCTATAAGGTGATGAGGAGAAAATGGGAGACAGGATGGTGTCAACAGGGGCACTGAGGAAGGGGAGGGGCTCTGTGATATGCATATGGCCATCTCTGGTTGTGAAAGCAGGAGGGGAGGAAGGAGGAGCATGTTAAGTCAGTCCTAGAACATACTAAGGTGGGATGACTGCACAAGCTCCACATAGTTAAGGAAGCAGGTAAGGTAGGGAAGCTGTGGGTCATTGCGGGAAACTGGAAGATGAGCCTGCCCTCTCAAGCAGAACAAGAGCCAGCTTTGTTACATGGATTTATTTTAAATCTAATGTGATCATCCCAATAAAACAGGCATTTGCCATCTTACCCTATAGATTTTTTTAGAGAAATTTTAAGGTTCACAGTAAATTTGAGCAGAAAGTACAGGTATTTTCCAAATACTCTCTACTCCCACACTTGTGTGACTTCCCCACTATCAGGATCCTGCATGAAAGTGGAACATTTGTTAGCACTGGTGCAGCTACACTGACACATCATCACCACCCAAAACCATGGTTTACATCAGGGTTCACTCTTGGTGTTTGTTTTACATTCTATGGTTTGGACCAAAGTATAATGACATGTATCTACCATATACAGAATAGTTTCACTGCCCTAAAAATCCTCTGTGCTATGCCTATTCATCCCTTCCTGCTAAACCCCTGGCAACTACTGATCTTTTTACTAAAATAGGCATTTTAGTTTCCCATTTTATAGAAGAGGAAACAAAGTTTCAGAGATATTAAATAACTAGTTCAGTCTCACAAAAGCTGTGTACTCCCAAATCAGATTTTACCACCACACTGATTGCTGAGCTCAAAACTTGCTTTGAGAAGTGGTTTTCAAACACCATCCACTAGAACCACCAGGGGATCTTTGTTCAGTTGGAGATTCCTAAATTCCACCCAGAATGACTCAGTAAATCTGGAATAAGGCCCAAGAATCTGCAATGAGATCCCCAGGTGACATAAACTCTACATTAGAGACCCATGATGCCAACGACACATAAGGCTGATACTAGAAAAGGCACAGGAAGAAAAAATCTTAGGGGAATAACCACAAAACTAAATAAAGCCCTGAATGAGAATGAAGAAGTGACCCACAGGTGGGTGTGGGCTGAAGAGAAATTCCTTCTGAAGGAAGTCAGAAGGCACAGAAAGGGCAGAACCAGGGAAAAACAGGTGTAGGTTTATCAGTTAAATCAAGTAGAGAAGTTTGCTATTCTCAATCTCATTTCCAAGACAAAAGGTTTAAAACCAAAGTGTCGGCTACAAGAAAGAAGAGTAGAATAAAGGCTGGGAGACAGTTTGATCACCGTGGGCAGGCACACACAACCCATTAAGGCTCAAAGGTTTCTTCTTTTTTGTGTGTAATTGAGAGGATATTGCTATATTTATTGTGGGACAGTAAGAGCCTTCTTGCCTCAGCAGGAATACCTGTCTGCAGCCTGCCTAGCCACCTATCCCAAGAAAATCCAGTGCCTCTATATGCCAAGAACGTTGATCCAGAAAGGACATCATCATGTTAACTCACCTCCTTGCAGCGCATCCTTCGGCTGGACATCTTGAAATAATATTCACTCAGGCCATCTGGGCTCAGCGGGTCATGAGAGCAAGCCTGAAGCAAGGCTCTGACAGACTTCTCTAGTTCGAACACCAGATACACATACCCTATTCCCAATGAGAGAAAAAAAATCACATTACTATCCCACTCCTCAGCCTTGGCTTTGCAGCAGGGAATTTCTTCCAAGAAAGAAGGCCTTGTGTATAAGATACATTTTTGTTTGACTCCTGAAAAGTCTTGTTGAGTCGAAGCATTTGCTGTGCAGATGCCCAGGGTTGTGGGCATCCCTCCCACCCTGGGTAAAGGAAAGGATTGGCAAGCTGGGACAGAGGATTCCACCATTACCAAGCTCTCTATCCCGAGTACACAGCATGTTCAGGTCAGTAGAGCCAAGCCTTCCTGGGGGCAGGAAGGATGGCAGGTATTGCTTTGAACACCTACTTAAACCATTGGTTCAGTTCAATGAAGATGGGGCAGGGTGAAAATAGCACCTGCTCCTTTCTACAGGGAAGGGATCTCATTTCAGACCAGTGAGGAATCAGATGCTTGGTCCTCATTCCTGCCAACTCTAAAGGGACTTCAGAATTAGGTCAGGCAACAATGTAACTGGGCAGGACAGGCAGGCAAGGGAAAGCTTTTCAAACGCCTTATTTTGAGAGGAAAGGTGCTGCTAGGGTTCAGGTTTAGAGAGAAGTGTACAAGGAAGGGGTTTCAGAGGCAGCTCCCACTGCTGTGTAAGTCTGGACAGATGGAACATTAGTTCAGAAGAAACAGAGGGACTTGTTAGGTTGAAGAAAAGAGCTGACAGCTGACAGGTCTGTGCCCTGGAGTGCCCACCATGTGGCCAGCATGCAGCTGTGACATCCCAGCACCCCTAGGTGCAGTTATGTACTAGGGAAGGGAAAAAAAAGCTCCTACCATGTCTTTATTACCTTTAGGCATATTACCTTTGGGAGGACACCGGGGGTGCTTGCCATCCTTACCAGGCCACTCCACACTCAAAGAGCCAAAAACACGGAAGGTGTTAACTAATCCAGCTGCAAAGAGACAGAAAAGAATGGCAGAAGCTGAGGAACCATCCTCCCCAGTAAAGACACAAACACAGAATCACCAGCATTCTCCTTCCTGGCTCATCCCCCATGACAAACAACTCAGAAATGAATGCCGATCTCCAGTGACAACTGTAAACTCCAGAGAGAAGCACTATGGGGATCTATGAAATGTACCTCTCCCCTCAGACGCTCATGTAATATTGTACTCTGAGTTCTCAGTCAGAGATTCAGCCCCTGGCCTCATTCCAAGTTTCATGCTCCTGAAAGACATGCCCCACCCTTCAACTCTCGAGGCAGAAAGTTAGAGACAGCTCACCTTCTGTAATATCCCAAGGAACACCTCCTAGAAACACCTTGCAAGAGTAGATGGGGTTCTTATAGTTCCGGGGAGGAAGCTGGCCACTCCAGGTACAGGTGGCTTCATTCACAGCTTTGGTAGAAGACAAGGAGGGAAACAGGGAGGGGTTAAAGAATCAACAAAGTCACCACCCTTCCGTAAGGTGAACTTGTCCAGCAAGAACCTGTTGGCTGGGCGCAGTGGCTCATGCCTATAATCCCGGCACTTTGGGAGGCTAACGTGGGCGAATCACTTGAGGTCGGGAGTTCGAGACCACCCTGGCCAATATGGTGAAACCCCATCCCTACTAAAAGTACAAAAAAATTAGGTGGGTGTGGTAGCTCGTGCCTGTAGTCCCAGCTACTTGGGAGGCTGAGGCAGGAAAATTGCTTGAACCCAGGAGGCAGAGGTTGTAGTGAGCTGAGATCATGCTACTTCACTCCAGCCTGGATGACAGAGCCTTTTATTCTGAAAAGCAAGAAACCTATGTCTCACCAATCCACTCAATCAAGTATGATAATCCTATTTTGCTAATTCTGTCCTCACTAAAATTGAAAGGAATACCAACCCAGATGTTTAGGGTAAAAATTCATACCCCATGTTATTTTTAAATATACAACTAATATGCTAACCACAAAGCAGTTTTATCTTGTTATTGCTTACAGTACTAGTTCATAATCACTTGAAAGTAAACAGAGCAATACAACATCCTACAGGCTTACTGGTACAAATGGGCCTTCTCCCCAGTGTTCAAATGATAAACATTCTATTCTGTTTTCTTGTCTTGGCTCTGAATTCAATTACAGAAGTTAGGACACTGCCAATAAAAACCAGCATTAGCAACCCAATAAGACAAGAGTATCACAACTGTTCCAAGCCAGACTCATCTTTAGAGCACCCAAACAATGGGCCTTCCTTGATGCCAACATGGTAAGGTAATGAATTAGCCCCGAACCCCTAAGCTTTCTATTTATGTCAACCACAAGTTTTTCCAAACCTATTGTGATGTTTCTCTGACTCGAAGGCCACATTAAGAAACCCTTCTTGGCTGGGTGTGGTGGTTCACCCCCATAATCCCAGCACTTTGGGAGGCCAAGACAGGATTATCACTTAAATTCAGGAGCTGGAAGACCAGCCTGGGCAACAAACTGAGACCCTGCCTCCACACACACATTTTTTAATTAGCCAGGTACAGGAGTGTGTACCTGTAGATCCAGATACCGAGGTAGATCCCTTGAGCGCAGCAGTTTGAGGCTACAATGAGCTATAATTTCACAACTGTGCTCTAGCCTGGGTGAGAGAGAGACCTTGCCTCTTTTTTTAAGACAAGGTTTTGAGCCGGGTGCGGTGGCTCAAGCCTGTAATCCCAGCACTTTGGGAGGCCGAGGCGGGTGGATCACGAGGTCAAGAGATCGAGACCACCCTGGTCAACATGGTGAAACCCCGTCTCTACTAAAAATACAAAAAAATTAGCTGGGCATGGCGGCGCATGCCTGTAATCCCAGCTACTCAGGAGGCTGAGGCAGGAGAATTGCCTGAACCCAGGAGGCGGAGGTTGCAGTGAGCCGAGATCGCGCCATTGCACTCCCGCCTGGGTAACAAGAGCGAAACTCCATCTCAAAAAAGAAAAAAAAAAAAAAAAAAAGAAAAAAAAAAGAAAGACAGAGTTTTACCATGTTGGTCAGGCTGGTCTTAAACTCCCGACCTCAGGTGATCTGCCCGCCTTGGCCTCCAAAGTGCTTGGATTATAGGCCTGAGTCACTACACCTGGCCAACCTCGTCTCTTAAAAACAAACAAAAACTCCTACTTGCTGAATAGGTTAGGAACTATCTTCTGTTTGCTCCTATTTCTAGATGATGGTTCTTGGTGACCAATTTAGCTTTTTATCAGTTTTCAATCCTGTCCCCACTGTACCTTTCCAAATCAGAAACTGACCTTAGTGGGGACTGGCTAGTTCTTGCCATTTCACCCTCCTCTTTCAGCAAAGAGGCAGACAGCCAATGAAAGGAACTATCATTTTCATTTAGGACAAAGATATGGAAGGATATTTCCTAAAAGAAACAGGCCCCAACGTGTTGCTACATAGCAAGAAATTGGGGAATGTCACCAATCTTTTATGACAAAAACAAAATATAATGGTCTCCTCCAAAAGCGTGGTAACATCATTTCATAGGAAACCAATGGTACCAGAGAAAGTACAAAGAGGGGCTGCCAGAATCATTAGGTGAACAGGGCAGTAGCACTATCAGAGGAGAATGAGACCCAGCCCAACTCTGTGAGCAGACAGACAGAGACACTGAAGCCTATGGAAACAAATGGAATGGAAAAACTAACATTAACTTAGTCATCAAATTCAGGAACTCAGAAGAGCCAGTGCTTACTGAACATCTCCCTGAAGCATTAGTAGACAAAGATGAAAAACAAATTTAATACATATTTAAGATTATTTATTTTTTAAACTTCTTTAAATATATGGAGATGGGTCTTGCTATGTTTCCCAGGCTGGGCAACTCCTGGGCTCAAGCCATCCTGCTGCCTCTGCTTAAGTGCTGAGCCACCCAGGCCAGCCTAAGATAATTTAAATGTCAGAACCTTAAGGATTCCTAGGAGACCAGGAAATCTGGTGACATCCCTTACCTTAGAGGTTGACAAATAAGACCTCTCCCTCCCCAGTGTATCCCTGAGTGTACCAATCAGAAAGCCTCAGGGAAGACAGCTCCAGCATGACTTGTGTCTGACTGTCTTTGAATTAGAATGAGGAGAGGGTAGACAAAATTCTGGACATCGCTTCCAGAGTTTCTCTTGAGGACATCCACCCGTGGAAGAGGAAAAAGCAAGAGTAGCATACAGCCAGTCTCCACGGAAGGGCACAAGTGGGAGGCAGAGCCAGCCTCTTGTGCTGTGGCACATGCGTGTGCCAGATTATCTGCTTCTTTCCTCTCCTCTCAGCCTCAAGAAATTCCTGAGTTTGTTCCCATTAGTACTTACTCCACAGAAATGTAATTATTTGCAGATCTGGGGACTTCACCATGCAACCAAGCCTCCTCTAGAAGGTTCACAAGTGTGTGAACTAAGGTCACTTCCTCTCTGCTCCCAGAATGAGGCCTCAGGCCCCACACATGCTCAAGGCACACTCACCTGCAGCTTGTCGGTGCAGCCTGGCCTCTCTCTCTATGCTGAAGGGGTCTTTGGGAGCTTCAAGGAGGTCCCAGGATGGCCACACAGAAGCTCCTGGCCATCGCTTTGAAGCACTGGTTGGGGAGGGAGTGACTGCAGCAAGAGCAGCTTGCTCTTGGTCCATCCGAGACCCTACCCCCATCTTTAAAGGGTCTCTGGGACCACCCCCTGTCAGAGACAGGAAGGGCAGGGGTGGGGAAATGCGAAGGCTTGACTAGGGGAGGAAAAAGGAAGATACGGTTTTAAAGGATAGTTTCATTATAAAGTAATAATCACATTATAGAAATTATTAAAAATACCCACGACATTTAGCATTTGATATATATTCTTTTAGACTTTCTTCCTTAGCAATTTTGGTTAGTTGTAGTTATACTATAATTTAAACAAATTCTCCTTTTCTCCTCATTCAACCTTTTTTTTCCCCCATATTTCCGGTCTTTATAACCATTTAAAATGCATTTATCATATTCTATTTAGGGAACAAGGTACATCTCACTGACCCATACTCCTCCTGTTACATATATACTTTCCATACTCCTCCTGTTACATATATACTTTCCAAGTTTTCAGAACCAGAAATAAAAATTAAGATATACCTTCTTCATATTTTGTGTTTTAGTCAGTCAGATTTCTAGAAAGTCAAATGCCAAAAGTGCTATCTATGAGGGCTCTGTGTTATATCATCAATGTATGAGAATACTATACACTTGTGTCAAAGCTTTCAAAATTCTAATTTACATGTGTGAAATGATACATTATCAAAATAACTCGTTGACAGAATATTTTTAAATCCCCAAATATTAATCAGTCATGAGATAAATTTCCAAAACTGAGTCCAATCTAAGTAACACAGACCTCCAGCACTGTATCTGACCCCATTTTACAGAAAAGGTAACTGCAGCCCAGAGAAGCAAAGGGACCCACTTGTGACTGCCCTTTTAGAAATGCAGCCCAAACAGATAAAACCAGTGGGCAGGCAGTGAGAACACCAATGCCAACTTCCATATTCTAGGACAGGCTGACAGGCAATCACAACCAGTGTTGCCAGTCCTGGGTATGGGAAGAGAAGAGAGTGAGAAAATAAGCCATTCTATTCACTGCACATTCAGCTCAGGGCATGTGGCAACAAAAACGCTTACAAGGCATCTGAAACTATATTCTTATTTTGGGGTAATTTCTCACTGCCAATCCCACCTGTATTTACTTTTACTATCCCCTATCTATATAATCTGTACTACTCCATCTATAATATCCCCTACCTATTCTAATCCATTTGCCAACTCTACTTAGCATGAAGGCCACACACATACATGGCTATAGGTAAGGAACATGAAATGCAAATATTAAGGCAATATTTCACAGATTCATCATGGCATAAATTGAAAGCTGGCATGGGTCAGTGGAAAAAATATAGAAGCTACAGTCAGTCAGATCTGAATTAAAATCCTACCTCTGCTAAGTACTTAAAAATTTTTTAAGTTACTACTTAATTTTGAGATATCATACATCAAAGTACATAAATGACACTGTTAAAGGCTAAAGAAAGTATCCCATGTAGGTAAAGAAACAGAACACTGCCAGGGCCCTCAAATTTCCTTTTAAAATGAAGTGTTTCTCAGTGCTCTCGGAGTAACTAGTAAAATGAAAGTCCTGAGCTCAGGTCCGAAAATGTATTGCTCGATGGGTCTTCAAAGCATTCTTTATCCTGTTAAGGATGAGAAACTCTACAAATGTCCACAATGGGCTCCACTCCTCCCCTCATCCCACCTCCCAGCCTACATTCCAGGGGACAGGCATCCCACAGACATTGTACCCCTTTTCCCCTTGGAGACACACAGGCAACTCCACCCACAACCCCTCTTTCCCAAATGAGTTACATACAATCAAATCTGAGAGATGATCTGATCCAGAGCTGAAGCCACTGGTGTCTGAGTCAGAGGGACTGCTAGATCGAGAGTCCAGGATAGGCCGGGTGTCCAGGCGTGATCCTCTAACAGAGGGTGCTGGAAACTTGTCCAAGTCAGACCCAAGGGGATCCAGAGGCAGGAAGCTCAAGGGGGGTTTTCCTAGGACATTTCCCAGTGGGTTATGCAGCATGCTCAGTACTAGGAGGACAAAAAAAGGAAGCCCATGACCTCTTAGTTTTCTTTGCAGCCAACAGCCTCTTTCTTTTCCCACAGCCACCCAACAAGAGACACCAAAGGCAAGACCACTAAAAGCATGCCAACAAAACAGAATATAACGAACAGATATGTATCTGGCTCTGAGACGTAGCCACAAGGGACTGTTAGAGGAAGTTACAGGCTGACTGAAGACCAGAGTTCCTGCTATTACAGTAGCAGCAAAACTGCTGGGTTCTGCTACACAGGCTTAAAGGTCAATGCCAGCATTTGGGAAACTGTCACTGGGAACCCTGGTCATGGCTATTAATACCTGAATATATCTACAGCACAGTTAAAAATCCCAAACCACACTTCATCTTTACTCCTTGTCAATTTGTTTATTAGAATAATTCCCACCTTTCTGATGCTATATAGCTAAAATATAGAATTTCAGGCCACATCCCAGAAATCTGGTATAGCATAAGCATACCACCTGATGTGAGAGGTTCACTTACACAAACTTCTAGCATATGCAGATTCTCTTCTATGCACCCTTGAACTTGAAATGTTCAGGATGGAAGCAGAATGGCGTGGTTAAGCCCATTCTTTGAGTTAAGACAAACTTGAGATGAAATCCTGTGTCTGACACCGCTTGTATATGGCTATGAGCTCTGGGAAGCTCACTTAGCCTCCCTGATCCTCCATTTTCTCACTGGCATCTAGGGTGGAGTACCAACTATTTCATAACATTGTTAGGACAGTTCAATAATTAGACAGCAGATGGAAAGAGCTAACCAGAGTAGCACCCAGCACACAATAAATATTTAAATATGAAACATAAAAAAACAGCAACATTTTCCACACTTGGCCTTGGAGAACCTAAGGTAAAGCACACCCTCCATCCATGAGGATGAGGAACAAGAGGGCTTTGCCATGGAGCTATGGTGCTGTATCTAGGGAAGAAGCCTTAATTTAATGGGTTTTTCTTTTATTTGAAAAATGAGAACATTCACCTCAAAATGGATGAGGCAAAACCAAAATAATATGTGTAAATGCTCAGTAACTAGCTGTGATTGGTCCTACTACAGCCCTGACTAGCAATGAAATTAAACATGTCACCCAGAGCTGGTTTTCTCCCAGGCCTCTAAGTCAGTCTGAATGCTTCTCTGGAAATGGGAGTCCCAAGAAGCAGGAATAAATCTCTCAAGTCTGAAATCAAAGTGAATGCATGCTTTCAGGGTGCAAGACACACATGCCATTGATGGACCATATGCACAAGATCCCAAACGTGTGTTAATATGGGACCAGAGCAGTCCACTCTCCTTTAGTATATGACCTCCCCTTTTGGATAAGATATGGTAAGTGTATCCTTAATATTTAATGCAGGGTAGATATATTTATCTAGTTATTATTTTATTATGGTAAAAATATCTTTAATTTTTAAAGAGACTGTCATAATGTTTTCCAAAGTAGATGTACTATACCATTTTACATTCCCACCAGCAGTAATGAAAGTTTCAGTCTCTCTACAACCGGGTCAACACCTGGTTTGGTCAGTCTTTTTGTTTCTAGCTAGTCGTATATGCATCTTGTGGGATGCAGGTAGGGTAGAGTCACACCACATCCAGCAAGGAGTTGCTTTAGCATTTTGTTTTCAAGTAAACATTCCTAACTTTGAAATTGCCGTTTGAAGCAGTTTTCAAAGCTCTAGCATTTAACTGTATGCTGGAACTAAGGGTCTCAAAATGCTTGGATTCTGATAACCATCAGAAATAATCTTTGACAAACTTCTCAAATAATCATTGGGTCAGGCATGGTGGCTCACACCTGTAATCCCAGTACTTTGGGAGGCTGAGGTGAGTGGATCACCTGAGGTCAGGAGTTTGTAACTAGTCTGGCTAACATGGTGAAACCCTGTCTCTACTAAAAATACAAAAATTAGCCAGGCGTGGTGGCACACACCTATAATCCCAGCTACTCAGGAAGCTGAGGCACGAGAATTGCTTGAACCCGGAAGGCAGAGATTACAGTGAGCCGAGATCGCACCATTGCACTCCAGCCTGGGAGACAGAGCAAGACTGTTAAAGAAAAAAAAAAAAAGTCATTGACAAACTCCTGCCTGAAAGAAATCCAAAAGCAAAGCCTGTAGAGTCCATGCCCTCAGAAGGCAAAATATATGAAGATTTTATTCAAGGTTTCTCCCTAATGCTGCAAAGCCTGGCGAAGAGGGACTGTGAAAAATCAACAGATTATATGCACGGGTCTTAAAAGTGTTACCTATTACCTGGAGGGCCTCATCCTTTTCCATATTTCACAAAAACAAGTTACGGAGATGAACAATGAGGTAACAATTCAAATCATAAAGAACCTTTACACCCAGGTTAAAGAGTTTTTATTTTATCTTATTGTCATTTGTTTTTTTTTTGAGACAGGGCCTAGCTCTGTCACCCAGGCTGGAGTGCAGTGGCTCACTTCAACTTCAGTCTTCCTGGGGGCTCAAGTAGTCTTCCCACCTCAGCCTCCAGAAGAGCTGGGACTCCAGCCATGTGGTACCTACCACATCCGGCTGATTAAAAAAAATTTTTTTAGTAGAGACAAGGTCGCACTATGTTGCCCAGGCTGTTCCTGAACTCCTGAGCTCAAGCAATCCTCGTGCCTCAGTCTCACAAAGTCCTGGGATTACAAGTGTGAAACACTGCAACCAGCTGATTTTATCTTAAGGGCAACTGAAAGACACTGAAAAGGTGGTCTGCAGAACTACTGTGGGGATGGCAAAGAAGGCTGACCAGGGAAACTAAGGAAGAGTACCAGTAGGAACCAGTGCCCAGCAGAGAGGAAACCTAAGTTGGACTTAAAGGATTTTCTCCAGCAGAGTTCAGGTACCTGGATGGACACTGGACTGATACAGAGCTATGATTTTGTTCCCCCAAGAGGGTATGAAAGAAGAAATGGGACAAGAGAGTTGATAACAGCAACAAAGGAAATGAACAATGGGTCGTGCATTATAGGCTAAAGGCAGAACAAAGTCAATAGACTGGGAACAAATAAATGGAAAACCAGAGATTTCAATAGGCTGAGAGCTGTAAGAAGAATGAAGATGGCACACAAGACAAGTAGAAGAGGTGGGACAGTGAAGATTAAGAGTTCTGAGGATGGCAAGGTCCAGAGGTGGCTGACTTAGAATGTGTTAAGTTTGAAATATTAGTTAAGTCATTCATGTCAACACTAAAGAGACCTATAGTGATAAATGGGCCTGGAGTTAAACAAACACAGAGATTTTCAGAGACCTGGGATAAGGAGTAGGCTCTACGTGGCATAGCAGCATCCTAAAGGAAAAGTCTTCAGCTAAAGCAGAAGCCGGAGGGAGGATTCACCAGTGACAAGAAGGACAGTTTGTTAACCCTGGAAAAGAGAAGTTTCAAGTGGCTCAACAGAGAGCTCTGAGAGTTAAGGGAGAAACAGCATAAAGCAGTCTGCCAGAAAAAAATAGTCAAGAGGGGATGCTGCCCCAAAGGCTTGCATCTGAAAACACCAAAGATGACAAAGTATGGGCTCTGGTAACTGTCCTCACCCAAGGTTTTTTTTAAAAACGTATGTTGGATAGAGTCAAAAAAGCAATGTGGTAAAAGCACTACAGACCCCTTTTCTCATTCACATCAATTTGTATTCACTATTGTGTTGGTACATCTGTTTCACCAGCCACAAACTCATCTACCTCCACTAACTTGAAAATTCTCTAGTGTGTCTATAAAGGTATCTTGAGGCTTTGTCAAATTCCTGTACCAAAGCTAGGAATTATCTCTGTAGTGATCCTTTAATCTGACAATAAACCTACCAAAGCAGAAAACAGCATGACAACCCATGTTGGTCCCTAACAAACTCTACTTCCTTAAGTGCTCACAGTTCATGGTGGTTCATCTCTTCTACAAATCTGGACCAGGTTCACTTAAGCTATTACCAACTTAGTGAACTTCTGGCATGCGCCAAGCACTGTGTTAGAAGCATTTTAGGTAAACAGTCTTCACCAAATCCTAAGTAGATATTACTGCATCCTAACAAAAGGAAACCAAAACTTGGGGCAGTCAAGTTTGTAAAAGTTAACAAATAAATGACGGAGTGAGACTGGATTCTTTTCCACTCCAAGTACTATTCACTAGTTTTTTTGTTGTTGTTGCTGTTTGTTTGTTTTTTTAATCTTTAGGACTTCACATCTGTTTGTCTTCACGTTCCTGGCACCTTTCCTTTGTCTGAATCCTTTAAGACCGTAACTACAAACTAGTGATGTCACCTACCAAAAGTTCCTGCTTTAGGACCTAGAATATTTGAGTCTTAAATCTTACCTAGGGCCTCGACACCACAGGAACTCATTAAAAATGCATTTTGGGTCCCACCCGAGACCTGACTCAGAATCTCCATTCTTAAAAGATCCCCAGGAGATTTGTGTACACATTAAGTTTGAGAAGCACTGATCCAGGCAAACCTGAGGCCTGCTACTTCGAATTCCTCATCACACCCAAACACCTTTCATATATAATTATTTCCTCTGACTTAAAGACTAGAGGTTATGGCCTACTGCAGTGGTTCACACCTGTAATACCACCAACTTGGGGGACTGAGACAGGAGGATTGCTTGAGGCCAGGAGTTCAAGACCAGCCTGGGCAGGCCTAGCTCTTAAAAAAAAAAAAAAAATTCAGCCAGGCATTATGGCATGTACCTATAGTCCCAGTTACTCAAGAGGCTTAGGCAGGAAGATCACTTGAGCCCAGAAGGTTGAGGCTGCAGTGAGCCATGATTGTGCCACTGCACTCCAGCCTGGGCAACAGGACAAAATCCTGTTTCGGGGGGCGGGGAGGAGGAAAGACTGGAGTTTATAATTAAAATACAGTTCTCTCACTAAGATGGTAAATATTTAAGAGAAAAAAAAGGCATCAGATAAAGAAATCAACATAGCTATATAGGACATTTACTTAACAGTTCCTTCTCTCTAAAAACACTGGGTGGG